CTTACGCCGTTTAATGAAGATGGGAACACTGACAGAGAAATAATATAATAGCCAATGCTCGGCGAGAGGTTTCGTTTATAAAAATTTGTTGTTGTTCTCAACTTGATTTTTATTTTATTATCTCGTCTCCATAGTTACTATTTGCAAATAGTCAATAATATTGTAAGTCCATTTCATTATTGTTCTTTCTATGTGCCGCTATAACAAATTTTCATCTCATCATTTAATTTCTGTTGTGCATATATTGTTGTATAGAAGATATTTGAAAGTGATTCATCAGCTGGAAAACGAATAGATAGAGAGATAAACCGATAATGGCGCCATCTAGTGTACCTAACTTCATCTAGAAATTTTCATAAAAGTGACCCGAAAAACGGGGATAACTCGTTAACCTGTGGCCCGATTTTAACAAAACTTGTTTTATTCTGTTTCTATTCTCATTTCCATTCTCTTTTCATTACAAATATGGCGCTATTGTGCTATTTAATTACAGACAAGCCCACAAACAAACAATCTCATAGTTTTAGTAGTATATAGATAACAGTACTGTCTGTTGTATGTCCATGTAATTACTTCGTTGGGTGTAGATGGATCTTCACCAAAATTGTTATGGAGGTTCATTAGGTCCATGTGAAGGTACATACAAACTTACAGTTTTACATTTTGCTGTTTTTATGAATGTTTTTGCGTTTCTTACCAGTACCTCACCTCTTATAGATGGATCTTGGCCAAATTTGGTATGGGGGTTCACTGGGTCTATAGGGAGATATATACAATTTCCAGTTTTGCATTTTGTGGTTTTGATAAGTGTTTTTGCGTTTTTTACCACTACTTCACCTCTTGTGGGTGGATCTTTACCAAATTTGGTATGAAAGTTCACTGGATCTAAGGGGAGATGCATACAAATTTTCAGTTTTGCATTTTACGTTTTGTAATTTTTATGAGCGTTTTAGCTTTTTTACAATTACATTATAAGGAAAGCAACTTTTCACGTCCTAAGATAACCTTTCATTAATCATGAATTCACATAACTTCCGTCCAGGGGACAGGTACTCCAGCTAGTAACAAGATAAGTTAAAATATGGTTGTTGGTTATGGAATAAAACCTTAACAATGTAAATAGAAAACAGATATTATTAGAATGGCAAGCTCTTAAGGAGCTGGAGCCTTATTTTTACTGTCTGATTATTATTATCATAAGTTGATTCGGCTTATGTTTTTCTAAAGCGACTTCCAACTTTTCCAATTAGGTTTATCAAAATACAATGATAGCTATGTGTACAAGTATAGAAAAATCTTTTCGAAAAAGGAAGTAAATGTAGGGATAAGTAATATCAATCCTTCAAAAACAATGCAAACAAGATAGTAGGGATGGCATTTGTCTCGAACAATAGCCACTTACATTAAACCAATAAACAATTAACAATAACTTAATTAAATGTACAGAATTTACAAACACAAAATTAAAATTGAACAAAGTCTCTTAATTTTATGGGATGTATCTTCTTCCATACTGGTCTCCGTCTCGTTGGCTCATGTGGGGTTCATCTGCTTCATCAGGAAACGTCCTATCATTGGTAACAGTCACATCAGTGGTAGTAACTTCATCAAGGGCTTCATTGTTTCCCTTCTCAAAACCGAGTAGAGTTTCTTCTTCGATAGTAGCTTTTTCAGGTGACACGTCTTCAGCAGCGTCATTTATTCCATTGTTCACTTCATCTCAACTGAAATGTCCTAGACCGTGATAACGCCAAAGCCTGTTGGCATGCACCACCTTTGGCTTACCTCGTCGACCACATTTTATTCGGAAAGTCACGTCTGAGAGACAATCCACTATGTCACATTGGCCTTCCCATGGAGAAGACAACTTAGAAGACTTCCCTTTGGTCTTCCTGGGTTTATACAACCACACCTTGTCTCATGGTACAAAGCTGACTTCAGTAGATCTCTTATCATAATATAACTTCATCGAATCAGCAGACGTTTTCAAGTTTGAACGCACTTGATGGTGAATATCATCCATCCTTTCCGATAACACTTTCAAGAACTCTGACACATTTTCAGGCAACTCTTCATAAGGTGGGCGTCCTGTTAACAGATGCACTGGCAACCGAAGTTCCCGACCAAACATCAACTTTGCTGGAGTGTATCCAGTGGCTTCATGCTCTGCTGTCCTATAGGCCAGCAACAGTGTGGGGAGTAAGACTCCCAGTCATCTTGATGGCTATTACAAAACTTTGCCAATTCCTGTCCCAGTGTCCACTTGTACTTTCTACCATCCCATCAGACTGTGGGTGAAGTGGCATTGTCCTGGTCTTTCGGGTGCCAAACAACTTGCAGCATTCTTGGAACACAGCTGATTCGAAGTTACAGCCTTGATCTGAATGCAGTTCATATGGCATACCAAATCTGAAGAAGAAATCACTATAGCCGAAGCTACAGTTATAGCTTCCTGATTTGGTATTGCGTATGGCTCAGGCCATTTGGTGAAATAATCCATCACCACACAAATGTTCTTGTTTCCAGCATGAGTTTGGGGCAGAGGACCAGCAATGTCAACGGCTCCTCTTTCCAATGGTGCACC